CCTCAAATCTGTTATACGCTTGCGAGAATGTCTGGGCTAGCACGCGCGTTCCATGGAGAAGTGACCAGAAGCTCTGCATGTACTATGCAGAGGTTTTGCATATGCATAGGCTCTGCATGTACTATGCATAGGCTCTGGGTCTTGGAGTTATAGCTTTGTGTCAAGCGCTTATGCTTTTTGGAACATAAGGTTTGATCGTCCACGGGAATAGAGCGCAGACTCTGTATGAATGGAACCTTCACTCTTTGAGTAAGAGCTCTGGTTCTTGAACTTCTGCATGAGAGCTCTTAGTCCAAACCGCTTCACTAGACTAAGTCCTATTAAGGCAGACTCTTACTTGAATTACAAAATAGAAAGTCTAATCGAAGCCAGAGGTTAAAAGGAACCTCTGATTTACATTCACAATCTAAAAAAGTACAATACGATTGAATGGAAATTACATTGACTTAAAGATAAAAAAAACTTACAAAAGATAAGGTCTAAACATTTTGAAGTCTGATGAACTTCCTAAGAAGTTCACGGAACTCTAGCATGTTGCGAATTGACCTTAAGATGATTTTTGCTCGCTCCTTTGCTCCTGGGGAGTTGTCTCTGCTCCTGACTAGGTTATCTCTGATGTAGCGGCAGAGTAGAGTTTGAATACTTGTAGTTCTGGTTATCTAAAAAAAGATCTTCTTTTGTTGTGTATTTCGAAATACCACCCCCACTTCTGGTTCCAACAACACAGTCCAAGAGGGGATGCTATTGATACCCTGCAGATCTTAATTTGGTGCAGCAACAATCAATTGATCCACTCCTAGATCCAGAGCTAGTTGAAAATCAAACTTGCATCTGAAGTCAAGTAGGTCTGTTATCGTTTGTCGTATAGCAGAGTTGGCCACAACATATTTAATCCCCTTATCCTTCTTGCGGTTTGTGAAGTAATACAAAGATAGAAGATCCCACAGATTCAGATTTATAAGGTCACAATCTGTGAACCTGCAGATCTGTCCGTGAAACCTCTCCACCGTATACTTGTGGAAGATGATCTAGTTGTGCGCGAAGGTACGCTTCTTGATGTCGATGACTTGCTTGATTCCATCTATGAAGTGGGCTGGAGATAGGATGTATGTAGTGATTTAGGAACCTCTGCCTGATATTCTCTGGGACCATTGGATGAAGACTGATCTTTTGGAACGGTGTCTCTTCTCGCAGGTTGTAGAGAAATTGGTAGATGTCCTCGTTGTCTGCTTTGTCCTTTATTGGCTTGTCAAGGGGTGTAGGCGTAAACATTGTGTCCATGCTTTCCTTGATCCTTTGAACTCGATCAGAGGGATGCTTTCTTTTTGGCCTGCTGCTTGCGCCTTCTTCTTCTGCTCTGATTGGTTTGACAGGGACCCTTTGCCTCATAGCTGGAGTGACTACTCTAGTCCCTTGAGCAGGGACCCTAGCTCTGTGTGTATTCTGTTGTGGTGGAGAAGCAACAACTATGACGCCTTCTAGAGGAATGGCAACAGGAATGGCCAAGAGTGTAGAATCGGCCACATTCACTGCTACCACCTCTTCTTCTCTTTCTCTTGCTGGAGCAGCGATGTCCATGGCCTATTCTGTTGAGGAAGACAAAGCCGGTTCTGAATCAGACGTGTCGTAAACTGAGAGAAGATCAATTACGTCTTTCTTCTTTTGTTGCTCAGCCGGCTCTGCTTGAGATGCCATGGGTATATTTCCCTTATGAAGTGCTTCTGCTTGTTCTGGCGCTTGTTGACTTGGTGCCCTCTGCCTTGAAGAATCATGCGCTGGTTGTCTTGGGGCAGAGGCAGTTGGGGCAGAGGGGGCAGTCCTTTGTATAAGACTTGGAGCGACGGACTGTTTCTCCCCCTCTTGTCGATTTTGAGGACCAGACTGGTATGGGTCCTCATCATCGTCAAGTCTTCTCCTCTTTGACGCCTCGGCACATGGAGAGGAGTCCATTCTTCTTTTTGGCCTATGCTCCTCTGCTTGAGGCATGGACTTAAGTTTTGCCTCAAACAGTTTGAGGAGATCTTCTATGGTGTCTCTAACTCGTCGAATCTCAAAGTCCGAATGGTAGTTAAATGCAGCCAGTGAACGTTTGATGGAGTCTGCTGCTTCTGTGGCTTTGCTGTTGAATTTCAATGTGAAATTCACCACCTTCTGTATTCATTGCGTCCTGAGTGACATAATCTACAGGTATGTTGAGAGGGATGATCGCCTGGGCGTCATGAGAAGTGGACACTTCACCCCTCTGCATGGATGCTATGACCCTTTGCAGGGCCTCTGCATTTCGCGCCGTCAATTCCTGTAGTGTATCGAGATGAGAAGCATTCATCAAAGATTCAGCTCTCAATACTGCTAAGGATGCTCGTATCTCATCCAGAGCAGATGCAGAAGGTGATGGCTCTGCACGGGCCATGTTGAGTTTTAGCTCTTCCAAGGAGCACGACAAAGAGGTGGCAAGGTATTGAACTCTTCCCTTGTGACGTAAGCTGTTTGGGTAACCTCTGGCTCAACACATGGGCCAGAGTTAGTCCTAGTTCCAAGGACACTTTCTTGTTCGACTTGTTTGATGTTGGTCGAGGAAGGATTTCCAGCAGATCCTCGTGGTTCTCCTTGAGGAAAATCCACTACTGCTGTTCTGTCATGAAGAGTATCCAAGGCAGGTTCAGAGCCAGCCAGAGGACTCTCTATGAGTGGACAAGAAAGTTGGTCGAGAACCTCCATGTCTTGTGCACCTAATCCTTGCTCTGAACAAGGTGGGTAATCTACACGTGCAGAGGAAACGAATTCCTCTATGTGGGAAAGTGGCGTGATATGGGGAGACATATCACGCATGCGTTCAAAGGTTGCACCCTTTTGAGAGGGTGTTCCCTGAGGTGTGGCTTCACTTTGGCTTTCATAACTAGAGGCAGATGCGACCTCTGGTTGGTTTGGCGGGTGAAGGTTCGAGCTGTGCACCTCTGTTTCAATGACCTCTGTGTCTCGACCATAGGAGTCAGATGATTTGTTTGCACTGGGAGTTGGGGTATTGAATCGTATGTGCCTATTTACCCTAGGCTGCTCTGGCTTGCCCTGAGGCAGAGCAGCTGCTGCACCTCCTCCCTCTCCTCCTCCTTTTTCTTCTTCTTCTTCTTCTTCTTCTTCTTCTTCTTCTTCTTCTTCTTCTTCTTCTTCTTCTTCTTCTTCTTCTTCTTCTTCTTCTTCTTC